AAAGAGGTGAAGGCAATCTATTTAAAAAAATAACAAAATATTAAAGATTAGATTTATAGCTTTACTAAGCCGTTCTTAAAGAATAATTATAGATGCATTTCGAGTTTATTTTATGCATCATATTACGTGAATCTCTCACTATCATGCATTTTTTTTATAGAGAATCTTTTTTTTGTTATTAAATATATTTTGTTTCTATATATTTAAGTATTTTGAATTATTGTTCTCATCTTATTATAAATGTTATTCTAGACAAGGTTTCAGACAAATAACCTCTGGCCATCATCAGGTATCCATTGTTTGAAAGATATAAGACATCTGTTTATTATTGTGTTATTTTGTCTGTGTTATACCAATTATTGCTGAACTGGTATTTCACTACCTGATCCAGGGATTGAACTCATGAGCATTAGAGTAGAGTAACACATGTTTAACCAATGCTTATATCAGCTACACTACCATTTGGAAAGATGTCAGTGGTGCTTGTTTCTATATTGAATGAAATTTTTGGTGTGTTGCTTGCAAAAATTCTGTCTTCTTTTGTGATATTGATTGTCTGTTTATTCCAAGGTAATATGTTGATTGTCATAAGCATAAATAAAAGGAAGATCTGCCAAAAAACAAAAAAAAAACGTGAATTAATCATTCACAGTTTTGTTATATTTTCTTATCATTGTGTTATCATTTCAGCATCAAGAAAATCCAGATTGATATTGAAAAAAGAAAGAAAGAATGTGAGAAAGAAAGAGAGAAGGAAAGAATGAGATAGAGAAAAAGAGAGAAAAGTGAGATGATATCAATAAAGTAAGCGAGAAAGAAGAAAAGAAAGGAAGGTATGAGAAAGAAAGAAAAGAGATAGAAAAAAAGAAATTGAGAGAGAGTAAAAGATATGAGATTAATTTTAATTGCTAAAAGTCTAATTTCAGGGGCATGAAAACATCTACAAGAGAGAAAGAAGATCATCATCAATAACTTAATTTTAGAGAAAAAATATCGAAATGATTTTAAACATTTCAAGACCAAAAGCCCAGTAGCCACTATTCCCATGCCCAAGTTTGCCAAACAGTGAATAAGATGCTTTTATGAAAGTATCTTGTTTGCTAGTGGCCAAATTTACAGCTTACTAATTGGTAATGTTGAAGATGGTGGATGGAATTCAAAATGATCAGTCTCTCTCTCTCTCTTTCTATTAAGCCCCTATCCCCACCCATGTCTGCTTGTTATGAAGTGACAGTTCTTGCTCAATTCCTCAAAGACCGTATAATGAGGAAAGGATAAAGCTGTCAAAGAACTGACAGATACAAAGATGAAAAGAGATAGGCTGAACTGCGAGTGGTGGTGGTGGTGGTGGTGGTGGACTTAGGATTGGTTGTCTTAGCCTGGCACCAGACCAAATTGCCTGCAGCATCCTTTGGATAAACAGTGTGTGAGTTTGTGGATAGATAGATAGATAGATAGATAGATAGATAGATAGATATGAAAAGGACTGAGATAGATAGATAGATAGATAGATAGATAGATAGATAGATAGATAGATAGATAGATAGATATGAAAAGGACTGAGATAGATAGATAGATAGATAGATAGATAGATAGATAGATAGATAGATAGATAGATAGATAGATATAAACAGACTGAAATAGATGGATAAATAGATAGATATGAACAGACTGAAATAGATAGATAGATAGATAGATAGATAGATAGATAGATAGATAGATATAAACAGACTGAAATAGATAGATAGATAGATAGATAGATAGATAGATAGATAGATAGATAGATAGATAGATAGATAGATATAAACAGACTGAAATAGATGGATAAATAGATAGATATGAACAGACTGAAATAGATAGATAGATAGATAGATAGATAGATAGATAGATAGATATGAACTGACTGAGATAGATAGAGAGATATGAGGGAGTCCTGGAAAGTCCTTAACCCAATCCACTTCCAAAAATCTTTATTTCAGTAATCAAAAGAATATTGATTTTGAGAAGTGGGTCAGTTTGAGAACTTTTCAGAACTCTCTCATAGACAGATATAAACAGAATGAAATTTGTAATATAAGATATTTGAATCAAATGAGTTGGTACTTGAAGATGATATTATAAATATAAATATTGTCCATCGTTGTCGGTGTTCGTATAACAAGCAGAATGGAGAATTGTTGTCTGCAGGGCTAAACAGTCAATTATTTTGTGTGACTTTTTTTTTTCCTGACTGTCATCATGTTGCAGCAGCACTGGAATCCATTTATGTGGCAGAAGCACATGTTGCCCTCGATAGAATATAGCAGCATGTGTTGGACAGAGATAGTGAGTGGGTGGACAATAGCTATCATTGTGGCTATCTTGGGCATCTGCTGGGTCCTTTGGCTCCCTCCAGTTTATTTTTACTGCTCCCAAGTACAATGTCAAGGGCAGGATTTTATGGTGAGGAGGAGTTTGCCGCCTTAATGTACAAAGCATAAAGAAAGGTTTATTGAAGAGGAAACCAATGACTGAGATTAAAAAGATTCCTTTGTAACAAGACAAATATCAGTCAGTTGTACAAAGTGAATGCAGTTATTTGTGGATGCCCATCTCTGTATGGGCATATGTAGACAAACACCAACATATATGTGTGTATACATTTATAGATAAAGAATAAAGTTAACTGTAAAATGTGCTCATTGCTAATGTTTGATTCACAAGCAAAATTCATAAACAGTGATATTTCAGTGTTTATTCACATCAACATTCAGGGACCTTCATTAGTTTTAATTAACATGCATTATTTATATTATTGAGACTGTTATTCTCATCTTCATTGTCATATTCACACTGTGGCCTGGTATTAAACTCACAACTCTTTGAGACTATACCTTTTCAACTTCAAAATGATAATAATCAACTTCAAAATGGACTTATTTTCAGGTAAAAAAAATGAATCAACTCCAAAATGGATTAATCAACTTCAAAATGGATTAATCAACTTCAAATTGGAAAATAACTTCAAAATGAGAAATAAATCAACTTCAAATTGGATTAATCAACTTCAAATTGAGAATTAATATAATACTAATAAATTTAATATTATTCTTTTATTTTTACTTAAAAGGGATATAAAAAAATATAAACGTTCCTAAGAAATTCATTTAAAAGATTACATCATCTAAGTTAATTACAGAGGGAAGTAATCTCTGTATTCCAGATATGAAGTTAGTGCAAGTCTCAGGGGAAATATTATTAATTGCCTCGGAGATCATCGCTTCTAACTTGCTTTAATTCTTTAGTAGTTACAGATCCCTGGCCATCACCTCTTAAAATCCCAACAATTGAGTCTGCCATACGTCAGCTTTAATGACTGACCAAACCTTTTCAATGGGATTTAACATCGGACTATAGGGGGGCAAGTCTGAAAATTTGGTGTTGCCTAAATTCATCCTCCTCCACAACTTCTTCAATTAAAGTATGGCAAGGAGCGTTATCAATAACTAAGACAACACCCCTTTCATAAATTTCATTTGCCTTTCTAACGCACTCCCTGGTCCATTCTTTCGCATCCTCTTTTTTGAAAGAACTTCTTTTAATTTTATGATGAATTAATCCATTATTACTAATACATTCAATAACATGGATGTTATTTTCCCTGGATCCGGCTGCAACTGTAGTGCACCTCATGCCTTTTTTAGAGCAACCTTCTCTTCTTGAAATATGGAGATTAAAATTGGTTTCATCCATATAAAGAATTGGCACATTTTGGGACTGAAATTCTAATAAAGCTACTGCATAATCCTTACGTTTCGCTTTATTGACATTATTATTGAATAATGAACCGCTTTTAAAGTAAAGGCCATGGAGTCACACGAACCTCATACATTTCGACCAACTTATTTACAATGTCTTGAAGAGTGACCCTAGGAGAGTCTTCAATTAATTCGGCCATTAAATTCTTATGCTCTTGCGTAATTTTATATTTTCTTGCTTCTCCCTAGAGTCACTCTTATCAGCACCCTGGTGAAAACCAACGGGCACGCTGTTGTTGGCAGAGGCACACCAATTGTTCTTGCCAGGTCTTTTCCAATTTCCTGCTGCGGCATGTGCAGCTAAAATCTGGGCCTTTTTTTTTTGCCAGCCACAGTTTTCTTGAGATAAGTCTTTTTTTGGAGCTGTTGCTAATTCTTCTTCAGCTTCTTTTGTAGAGGTTTCTCCAGCATCATCATCAATCAGCATTTGTGACCATACAGGACTTTCTCCTCCTACTTTTACTGTAGGCTCACCCAATGCTTTCTTGGCCTCTAAGTTGTTTGTATTTTGGTTTTTTCTTCATCTATATAATGAAGATGAACAGTCAATTTCCTTACTCATGGGTAAATTAATTGAAAAAATAATTTTCAATTTACCAAAAAAACATATCTCAATTTGAAGTTGTTTATTCTTATTTTGAAGTTGATTGTTTTTAGGTTTTTGATATTTTCTCAATTTGAAGTTGATCCATTTTGAAGTTGAAAGGTATAGTCACTGAATCAAACCAACATCATTATCCACTGGGCCATGTATCCTTGAGGACATCTGTGTGTGAATTTTTGAGACTTATAAACCTAATGTCTCAGCCTCGATTTTTACCAGTGCTCATATTGCAATTTTTGTTATTATTATTATTGCATTTTTACCAGAGCTTATATTGCAATTTTTTTGTTGTTATTCATTGCTTTTCTCTAGCACTCCTTATTACTGGTTTAGAGTTGAGTTAAAGGGAAATAACTGAGACATACGGAAGAGGCATGACATGACTAGAACAATGGAGGAAAAAGGGTTCGGTTCAAAATTCCAATCACCTGAAGAAGGCTGGAACATACAACAGCTGAAATGTTGTGAATATGGCAATGAAGAGTCTGAATAATGTAAATAATGCAAGTAATCATAATACCTCATCTCGGAGATATAGACAGATTTTAATTAACAGTTTAACTTCTATTAAAATGATATCAAAAATCTATGCAATTATAATGTTCTTGGACATCTTGGTTTGTCCTTCCCTTGATGGCAGTCTTGATGGTCTTGAGGTTGAAGGGGGAGGGAATGGTTCTGAATGCCCCCTCACACATAAAAGTTATCTTTGCAGATCTACTGCACCTTCTTGGATATGCAACTGAAAATGCTCCCTTGATCTATATGTTGCATTGAAGCTCAGACCAGACACCAGGTTTGTTCTCAGGGTGCAGCTTCTTCCAGTTGAACACTTGGGGCTGAATACATGAAATATAACTCTTTGGCCAGATCATTACGCACAAAATAAAACCATGAGATGAAATTGTAACAGTCAGCAAATTTTTATTCCATTGCAACCTTCTGCTGTAGGTGAGCAAGGGAAAGTGAGGGAGTGAATGACCTAATCAGCATTTGCCTTCCTTTTTGTGTTGCGATGAACAGTCTTCTCTGCTATGGACCATTGTCTTATAGAGAAATAGTGTCTCTGTCCTGTCAACTATGATTTAAACAAAAATCATTTAGTAAGTCCATTCCACTTAGCTGACCTCCTTTGTCAGAGTCATTTGACATAGTTTTTGGGAAGTTAATTTAACTCAGCTGACCTTTATCAAGATGGTAACTGTCAAAACAATTTCTATAAGTAACATCTTTCAGATGTTTCCTTTAACAAGATATCAGCTGACAACTGATATCACTACACATATATAGTCATTTTCTGGTTAAAACTGAAACTTTCTACTATTTGATATCAAAACAAACAAAATAAGAGCACAAATCCCCAAATTTTAATCAATATTTTCGTTTACATTCTTTTAAAGCTGTTGTCTGACAAAAGATATATTCAATGCTATATATCTTTTTCTTCCATATAAAAATTTATATATATATATATATATATATATATATATATATATTATAATATTTTTTTAAAAATATGATTCCTTCGCTACATAACAGTTCTCATGTTTCAAAAACGAGAGCCGAAACCATCAATATAATTATTAAAATTAAGTTGAATCAGGGTGTTGGGTCCTGTTTCATCCTCAAGCAAAAATTTAGGAATAAGCTATCTTGTGGTTTGCACGTGTTTATAAGTATGGTCCATTGCAACATTAATTACTATGGAAACAGCTAGGCCCGCCATCTTGGTTAGGTGGTCAGACAGTTAATTCTTATCTACAGATTCGTCACCTTCGGAAAGGTTATGCCAAGGTAGAGTGGGGTATCTATTTCAAAAGCTAATGGTGGTGGTCACCGTCTAGTTAGTTTACAGCGAAGGATATTTCATGGGGCAACGTGAAGTCGTTAAGTGTCGAGAGGATTTTGTTTTATTATTATCTATCTGTTAATCTCTTTATTTATTTGTTTATTCAAATGGCTGTTCTATATACAAACCTGTTGCACTGAACTACAATTTGTTTTTTGACGACTTCACAAAGGGTTTTTTTCTATTTAATGATTTGGCTAAGCTCTTAAGACTTTTATTAGACTATGGAATTTATTTATTTATCTATTTTTTTTATGCTAATTATTTAATGCGAAAATTTGTTAATGTCGGCAAAAAACTGTTAACTCCTGCCTATGGTTTAATAACTTTTCATTATTTAGAAACTTAATGATGTGTAGTTTTTCATGTAGACATAAAGGGCATGGGTCATCCCAGGTTTTACAAGTTCTTGTTCTATTTATTATTTTCCATTTTACTTTTGGTGTTTTATTCGTTTCTTTTAGATGCCAGAAATATTGGAATAGAGATGTCTGATTTCTATTTTGAATATTGTTGGAGGAGCTCTTGTGTTGTCTCCATCTAATTTTAAATTTATTCTTCGTTGACCCAATGTATATCCTATCAGTGTTAGGACTCTCAATGGATGGGATAGTGCATTGGTATACCACAGATTTTGTGAGGCATTTATTTTCCAACGGGCAGTCTTTAGGGTTTCTACAATCACATAATTTGTCGTTATTTTTTTATCTAATTTCAGTTTAAGAGCTTTATTACTGTTTTGGCATGCATGTTTTTCCAGGATTTTATTATTGTGTCTTTTTATGATTGTTTCTAGATTTTCAGTGCAGCTGTAACTTAATTCTGACCACCTAACCAAAATGGCCAGCCCAGCCATTTCTAAAGAAATTAATGTTGCAATGGACCATACTTATAAACACGCGCAAACCACAAGATAGTTTATTTTTAAATTTTCACTTGAAGATGAAACAGCACCCAACACCTTGATTCAACTTAATTTTAATAATTATATTGATGGTTTCAGCTCTCGTTTTTGAAACATGAGAACTGTTATGAAGCGAAGGAATCATATTTTTAAAAAAATATTATAATATAAGCTCTACTTCTGTATGGAGCACTGTCTTCTTAAAAATAAAAACAAAAATACTAAGGAACTCCAGATTATTTACCTGATGTGTCCCTTCCTATTTTTCTGCATACTTGCACACACACACACACACACACACACACACACACACACAAACACACACACACACACACACACACATATAATATATATATCATAATGGTAACATTAGCAATTTCTCTACAAGAAAGCATTTGGCATTCATTAACTGAGCAGCCAGTGCTGCTTTTGGTTGAAACTTATAAAATCTTTCTCTTAAAACAATTATTCAGGAAAAATGAAAATAGGTTTTTCTAGTCCAGCAGCTGTTATCACTCTTTCCAGAATTGATGGGACTTTCCTTTCTAACCTTTTATTTGAAATAGTGTTGAATGAAACATCTTCATTATGTCATTATTTTCTCATTGAGTTACATGTAATATCCATTTTAGTTATTGCTGCTGTTGAAAGTCCTCAAGTGATGTGCTTTCTGTTTTTTGGTACAGTTCTTTGTTTTTGATTCTATATCTCCACTCTACAATATTCAAAGAAGGATGGCCTTCACCATGACCCAAAATAAGCCAGGGGGCAGTTGTCATCAGTGTATTAGAGCTCTGTGACTTGTGCATTTGTTCTTTAGTCCCGGACTAGAGGTGAGCTATGCTGAAGAGGCTGCCATCAGTGTGGTATTGAAGGTCAATTCTAGGGTTGTCATCAGGAATCTCCTGAAACACTGCTGCCAAGTAGATGACATAACATATATATATATATATATATATATATATATATATATATATATACACTGTGTACCAAATTATTATCGAGATAACTTTTTTTCTAATATTTCAAAAACTGTCCAATCAATTCACACAAAATTTTCACACAATTTTCGATAATAATTTGGCACGCAGTGTATATAGGATGCATGGTGGAGTAGTGGTTAGTGGCTTGGATTGAGAGATCAAAGGGCCAAGTTCTTATTCCAGTCAAATCCATTACATTCACTTATGTGCTAATACCCTTGGGAAAGGTATGAATCCTCTTCTTATCCCTCCAGCTATGGGTAATTAGCAGTACAGACTGGGTTCTATAGCTTTGGATGGCAACTGGTCTAGGAGAAAGACAACTATGAATTCAAAACCTGCGGAAGGTTGTTTGGGGACCTTGCGGCACATTGTGCACCAGGTCTCTGTATTCACCCCTTCAAATAGTGTGGCCAGTTCTGCACAAAGACTTCACCACTATAATCAAATCATATGTGCTGGTGTTTGCCTGTCAGTTCCTAGGAACTGAGTTGCTGACCCTCATATGTTGAATACAATGGGAGAGTCCACCATATATATATATATATATATATATATATATATATATATATATATATATATATGTATATCATTTCACCCCAAGTAGAGTGATAATGTCACTAAGATAAAAGTGCTTACTGTGAGTGAAAAGAGAATTTAGTGAGAAGAAAGGACAATAAAAGAACAGGGTTCAGGAAAGTAGAAGATAGCAATTGGTGCTTCATTTTTGAAAATTGTAGGTGACAGGGAAGCAAGAGATTAGAAGAGTTTAACAAACAAGAAGTGGTAATAAACTATTAAAATAGAACATACAGTTGCATCTAGCTGTTTCAGCAGTTAAACAGTGAGACCTAGTTGCCAATCTAGCTTAAATTCAGGCAGTTAAGACACAAAAGGTGAAAGTGACTAAAACCAAGATACCTGATCAGGATTGATTACATTACAAACCTTTCTTTGAATTTTGTCAAGAATCTCAAGAAATATAGTATGAGCACCAGACCAGATATGGCAACAGTATTCAGTACATGGAAAATGGTAAATTTATAAATTTGCAAGATAGATTCTGACAAGAAAAATTGTCTGGTAGGACATTAAACCATCTTTCCTAGCAATAGACCTAGCAAATGATGCATCATAATCGCTCTGCTTCATGTCAATAAAAAATGGTAACACAAGAAAGCACAAAGTATTTCTCTCCTGAAGGTTAGAATAAGTCAAACTGATGGAAGGCAGAAAAGGTTCTCTATGGTGATTAAATGAAAACAGTTTTGTTTTGGAGGCATTAAAATTATAAGCTATTTCTTGCCACAGTTAATCACTGATTGGAGGTCATTTTCAAGAGCAGCTGCCAATTTTATTTTATTGGATCTGTCTAATTTGCTACTAAAACATTAGTAAATAGTTGTGTCATCAGCATAAGTAACTAGTTGGGAAGATCATTGATGAAGATAAGGAGCAACATAGGTCCAAAGATACTGCATTAAATGATATCACAAAGAGCCTGGCTCTTCTTTCAGAACCACTTGTAAATTTTGTAAAAGAGTTCTGGAAAAACAAAGTGCAGCTATGCACAAGTTGTCCAGGCCAAGGTTGAAAAGAAAGAAATTGGATTTTTCAAATTCTGGACAGAGGGAAAGCGGCTGTGCCTACTATTATAAATAGCTCCGAGGTCATAACTTCGTTGACAGACAAAGTGAAGCTCTTCACCTTGATCTTTGCTTCAAATTCAACATTAGATGACAAAGGTCATTTTCACTGAGCACAATTTCAGTAATATACTCATTTCAGCAAGAGAAATCTCTAGACTTATCAAAAACCTCGACCTGAAAAAAGCCAGGAGCCCAGACAAAACTCCAGTGGTTGTCCTTAACCTAGAATTATCCCAGATTCTAGCAAAATTATTTAACTGCTGCTTGAAGGAGAAAATATTCCCAAGCCTACGGAAGGAGGCAAACATATGACCGGTCATAAGAATGCAGACAAGCAATCCTCCTCCTCCTCCTAGTATAGACCTATTAGTTTCCCCAGTATTATCAGTAAACTTTTTGAGAAGGTCATTGAGCACCTAGATAGGAACAACCTCCTGTGCAATGAGCAGTATGTGTTTCGGTCAGCCTGATCTACTGCTGATAGCCTAACTACCATTACATACAGACTTAGTGGGTCCTTTGTCATTTGTAAACATGTGCCAATGGTACAACAAAATATGGACGCATCTCTAAAACTCTCAACAATCAGAGATTTGTAGCTGACCTCTCATCTGATCTAACACTAATTTCCTAGTGGGAAAAAAACTGTCTGGTTACATTCAATGACTCGAAAACCAAACTTGTTACATTTCATCACTGTTGATCAAACATTGAATTACCTCCAGTCATGAGGAATGGATATCCCTCAAGGAAGCACCATGTCTTGAGAGAATATTGGGCCTCAAAGTCACATCTGACCTCAAGTGGAACTCTTATATACAATCCATTGCTAAAGATGTAGGCAAAATGATCAGCTCCCTGTACTATTCCAGTAAGTACCTGACTCCTCATGCTATCCTCTACCCATATAAGAGCCAGATCAAGCTGAAAATGGAGTACTGTTATGATATTTGGGCAGAAGCTGCCTGGTCCTCACTTTCCAGTCCTTGTTGGAGAAGAAATAGTTTCCACCCTCTAACCTCTCTCTCAAAGGGGGGATGTGGTAAGTCTCTCTATTGCTACTATGATGTAAAGTTCTCAGAAGAACTAGATTCCTTGGTTCTACCAGGTCTAACCTTCACAGCTAGGATCCACCATGCCCCTTGCATAGTAGCAAATCACCCACAATCCCTCCATTTTCCATCATTGAGAAGTAAGTTCCACTCAAACAGCTTCTTCCTACAAATCATGCCCTGTAGAACAGACTCCCAAGGAGATGTTTCCCCAATCAATACAATCTTAACCTGTTCAAGTCTAGGATTAATTGTTATCTTCCCCTCCTATCCATATAAACTAACTGTTAATGTAACCCTCTACCTTAAGTGGCCTCCAGGGTGAACCTTACTGTAAAAAAAAATGTGAGATGGTTAACCATTTCAATGCTGAGTGGAGACTTTAGTACTTTGCCAAAAAGAGATAAAAGACTAATAGGGTGATAATTTGAAAAGTCAAAAGGTTATCTATCTATCTATCTATCTATCTATCTATCTATCTATCTATCTATCTGTGTGTGTGTGTGTGTCTATATTTCTGAGATGAGGTATTGTAACTATTTACATTGTTTAGACTGTTGTTCTCATCTTTACTGCCATATTCACAACATTTTGTCTATTGTATGCTCCAGCCTTCTGTAGGTGATATTAATGTGAATTTCAAACTGGAATTTTATTTTGTCCGCATATTTTTGTTTAATATATTTATTTTAATTTCTTTTTTTTTTTTTGGTGGGGTGGTATCTTTTTTGTTTAGTATTGGCTTTGTCTAAAGTATGTTACTTTATCTGCATTGTATATATTTGCATTTTTCATGATGATATTTTACAAGGTATTTGTTTTTAGTTTTTGATTTTTAAGTAATGTATAAAAAAAAATGTTTTTGCATCTGCATTTTCAGATAAGTTCTAATTGTTTATTTAGTAATTTGTATTGGTCCGTGAAAGTGATTATAGCTATTTCATCCTCCAGACAGTTTACAGCTTTTAGGCTTATTGTTGTAGGCTGATGTTAATTTCCTTATTTTTCATGATATTTTTGGTGTAACTTGTTTGTTTTTTTTTTATTTTTCCATATCTTTTTAGAAAATGAGATTGACATACTGAATTCAAATTGCATTCACTTTTGCACAAATGCCCTTGGAAAGATGTGAGTCCATCTTTTCTCTCTCCAGTTATAGGTTAAATAGCAGTGCAGATTGGGCCCTCTATCCTTAAGTGGCAACTGATCTAGGAGAAGGAAAAATCTGAATTGAAAACCAGCCTGAAATGGGATGGGATTCATCAGGCTATCTTACCCTAGACACACGACTACTGTTATGGCTGCAGTACATGTGGTTTCCCTATGACCCTAATGGCTATAGAACTCATGATGTGATATGACAAACTGCCCTATGACTATAACTTTGTGCCAGACTGGAATCAATTTTATAAAAATATACATACCTATTCAACTCATAAACACGTGGATGTGTACGAGCATAATGACTGGCAGTTCAGAAAGAGAAATTGACAAGCTAAGTTTGAATTCTGACCAATTCTGTTTTTTATATTAATGTTCATTCAATACAAGACCAAAAGGCCACTCAAGGTAGAGGGTTACTCTGGTGAGGTGTTGTATGAGCACAAGAAAAAAGCAAGAAGTGTTACATTCCATTTTGCACAAACATGCTTGGGAGAGGAATGAATTAATCTTTTCTTTCTCTAGAGCCAATTAGTCTCTCTAGCCTTGGTTGACAACGAGATTAAGATAAGGAAAACTCTGAATACAAACTTGAGGAGAACTTTATGGAAATGTTGAAGGGCACTTTGCAGCATTTATCAGCTCTTTTGAAAAGTGGGGCTGGTTCTAACAATAATAATCAAATTGTATAGGTAGTCTGTCAGTCCGGTTCTAAAACTGAATGGTTAGGCCCACATATGTCAAAAATTGACAGATTCTTATATATATATATATCACTAAGATAAGTTTTCCCGATGTCGTTATTCATATTGTCCTTTTTACAGATGTACCCTATCTGAAATTTAACATATAAATACATATATATATATATATATATATATATATATATATATATATATATATATATAATCTAAATATAAAAGTGGACATTGAAGTCAACACCTAGTGGCAACAGTCTGTTTTATGCTTAAGCACAATCATCAGGCCAGGGTGTTGACTTCAATGTCCACTTTTACATTTACATACACTCTGTCTTTGATATTGAGCACTACAGCCCATAAATATAGCATACTTTAAAACTATATTTTATCATATATATATATATATATATATATATATATATATATATATATATATATATATATATATATATATAATCTAAATATAAAAGTGGACATTGAAGTCAACACCTAGTGGCAACAGTCTGTTCTATGCTTAAGCACAATCATCAGGCCAGGTGTTGACTTCAATGTCCACTTTTACATTTACATACACTCTGTCTTTGATATTGAGCACTACAACCCATAAATATAGCATACTTTAAAACTATATTTTTCATATATATATATATATATATATAAATAACATTGGAATTGAAAATCTAAAATGGTAAGTAGCTTTGCCTATTTATTTCATTGTTCAGTTTAAACCCGTTAATTTATTCGATAGCTTTGAATAATTTGCTTGTGTATTTACCATCAGCATGTCACTTTAGTTACCTGTTTATTCATTCCATGAATCATAGCCAACATGATTAAGATTTATTTCTTTCATTAAAAGAAAAAGAGGGAAAGGAAAACAAAGATAGAGCAACAATTTGTGGGGATGGTGAGGTGAAGTCTCTTACATTCACTAATAGAAGTCACATGACTTGATTTATAAACAATTCAGGAAGCAAGCACAAACACATGCACATACACACATGTAGGTACACATACTTGCAGATACATAGACACACACATACGCCTACTCAGATATATAACTATTTACATGCATGAATCTCAAACACACACCTATTCACAGACATAAGTAAGTAATCCCTGGCTTCTCATATCTGAGTATGCCTGTCTGCTAGGGTGGTTAGCAAATCCTTATTGCAGACACCTGCTCAGGCATATTTTTGTTTGTTCAACACCCACTGAGCCTATCTGTGATTAATACTGCAACTATGCTGAGCAGACATTAGTTACAGTTTCTGGGAGTGAGTGCATTATCTAACAAGATAAGCAGTCTGAAAAAGTCTAGTGCTCTCAAACTCTCGGTCACAATGACTTGTGACTTTGTGCTAGCACTACCATCGACAGCTCCTAAAGGACTCTGTCTACCCAATTTCACTCACAGCACTTGGGTCAATCTGTGGTATGGTTTTTCAGGCACTTTCCAGACATGATACATACTACGATTACCTCTACAGGCTGATAACATCAAGTCACCTACTTGACAAATTGATCATTGTTAGATTTGATCCGAGGTCTCATGGTCAGAAAGTGAATGCTCTAACCACTTGGCCATGGGCCCGTATTAACAAATTCATATATGCATACATTGTTTGTGCACACACACACACACTATATGTCTATTAACACACACACAAATATCTATGCACATGCACACATATATCTATTCCTTCACAGACCTATTCACATACACTCAGTATTCACATATGCACGTATTCACACACACACACATCTACTTACAGACATGCATACATCTACTCAGATACATGCATCTACTTACATGTACACCTACTCACACATGCATGTGGTCAAACATAACCTACTCACAGACATACTTATATCTATTCACACAGACACACACCTACTCACAGATATCCACACCCATATATCTAATCATATACACTCACACACATATACACACATGCCTACTTACAATCATATAAATGTACACATCGACACTCACATGCATACATCTATTTACAGGCAAACCTACTCACAAACATGACTGTGTATGAAATATTTCCACAAGTCTGAACCATTTCCCTGATGCTTACTGATTATTATCAAAGACCCTCCTGCCAACCTCTCACCATTTCTACCCAAAGATGAATTCTTCTGGTGCTGAACAAGAGATTTCCAGCAAATATGTAACATATTTCAGTAAATATTTCAGACTTTTCCTCCCCCATCACATCATGATAACTACCATCAGTTCAAGCTCTACCCACAAACAACACACTCTTCCAGTGCAAGTGCCACACACACACACACACACACACACACACACACACACACACACACACACACACACACACACACACACACACACCAAATGTGAATAAATAATAAACTGATTCTTTTGAGGTGGACTGAAACAGATGTGTATTTATCACCAATGGTCAGAGAGTTTGAATAAAAGGAGGATTTAGAAACTGAATTCCCAGAAGAGATCTACTGTGCACAAGAAGAATTACTATCCCAAATTATTTTGTTAATAAAAAGATTTAAATATTGAAAAATGTTCTTCAATTGGATATCTCTTTGAGTCAGAGTCATCAAAATCAGGAAACATTTTCTTTTTATTTTCACCACAAGCAAGGCAATAATGCCACTAAGATGCAAAGGACTTTTAGGAGTGAAAGAGAATGAGAAGACTTTAGAACAAACTAGAAATCCAATCCTAAACAGGAAACAAATGTTAAATCTCTACTCCTGTTCAAAAGACAGGGAGGTTTTTGAACCGGATGATAGATGAACCTATTTATTCTTAATCAGTTTATTATTTATTCACATTTGATGTGTGTGTGTGTATGTGTGTGTGTGGCATTTGCACTGGAAGAGTGTGTTGTTTGTGGGTAGAGCTTGAACTGATGGTAGTTATCATGATGTGCTGGGGGAGGCAAAATCTGAAAATAAAAAAATAAATAGTATATAGAATTTCAGGGTGTTGGGATAATCAGTGCACTCCAAGAAGATAGGGAAAAAACCCTAAGGTGAAAATAGCTACCTGTCTTATGTTGTTATTTTCTGAAAGAACAGGAACTGTAGGCCAATTTTTGGTAAAGGATAAAAGAAGAAATCATGTTCAGTGGAAAATATGAGACTCTTTTATAAACTAAAAACTGAGAAGCAAGAAAAAGAACAGGAATGAAATGGTTTTGTAAACAGTAACAAAAGAGGAATTTTCTCAACTTGTTGAAGGAAGCAGATTATTTTCTTCATTTCAATTAAATATAGGGATTTACTTAGCATAGCTGAGATGTGACACAAGGCTGAAAGTATGGAGCACCCAGTGAGGATTAAACTCACTAGTCTGTTATAATCAATCTTATGGGACAAGCTTGCCAACCATTACACCACATGTAATAGTGCCTGTTTCAATTAACTATATTCTTTATCATATCTAACATTGCCATCTATATTATTCAAAGTTTTGTTTTTATTTTAATTCTTTGTTATAATTATTGGATTACAAGCATAGTACCCATAAAAAGTAGCAAGTTTATTTCCATATGAATTGACACTAGATTATCTGTGCATTGTTCCTTAGAACGATAGGATTAAATTGTAGTTAAACATTTCTTTTACATGGCCTTAAG